ACACACACACACACACACACACACACACACACACACACACACACACATTTATTTCCTATTGCTATTTGTGACTAGGACATCAACTTGGTATGAAAATTAACAGTAGCTATGAAAGCCAGATAGAACAGTGTTCTCACATTCTAGCTAATGACTACTGACAGAACTAACTGTGGCCCAAGGCCTACTCTGTCTTTATAAGAAACAAGCGCTGGCAGCCACTTAACACTGCTGAGAATGGCTGTAATGGAAATTTTGGTTTCTTTAAGAACTCAGTTATATTATGTATAAATGTTTTTGTTTTAATCCCAAGTGTGGGGATTTTAGTTGGGCTATAGTTTGTCCATACCTGTTAATTTTCTCCTGTAGAGTGTGGCTTTTGCCAGCTGTTAATGGCCTACCTCGTACCTCATGTGGCATGGAGAGGGGCATGGTCTAGGACTCTGAGGATATAAATTTGAGAGCCCAGAAAGAGGAGGTATAGTGTAGCATGCAGTGTTAGAGTGTGGTGTGTAGCAGTTTGAAGAGACCAGAGATGGATGGTGTAGTGGTTTGGAGAAGACAGATGGAAAGAGACACTTCAGGGCACAGAGGCTTGGAGGCTGCTGGCTGTGTTTGCTGTTGATGGAGATTGCAATGACCCCCAAAGACCCATCAACCCTAAACAGCCAGGAGAAGTAAAAGGGTATGTGCCCCCTCTCCCCACTAACCTCTCTCCTACGTAAGGTTGGGAGGTTGCAAGAGAGGTGGAGGCCTAATTACCCAAAATAAAATAGAGTTTAAAAACAAGCACTACAAATGGCCCACGTGCTAATGGTGGCACCTCTGACAGGTGAGGCAAAAGTAGAAAGGAAGTAGCTTTCCCCACAGAGCAAGTCATTGCTGTTCTCTGTGTGTCACGTAAGGGCAGCCATGTACTGGGCACTTTTTCCCTCTTGCAGACACAGACCCACGGAAACAGAGATGAGACATATGAGGCCCCAACAATCATAGCCTTAAACTCGCCCTGGTAAACACAAAGAGCTAAGTGAGGCAGATGACAGCCCTGCTCCTGAAGAGTAGATTAGCAAAGAGAGAATTCAACCATTAGCCTGGGCAGCTGCACAAATAATAAAACTCATAAAATGTATCTAGCACTAAGACACAAAGAAATGTTTTCTAAAATGAATAGTATTTAATAAAAGGATGGGGTGGAGGTGGGATAAGGAAAGGGAATCGGCAGCTCTGTAGTCATAGGCCATGATACCATGATATTATTTTTCCTAAAGAAGTGCCAGGAGCCAGGATGGCATGAAGACCTGCTAGTGCTGCCACAATAATTCTGGCCTGAGGCAGGACTCTGCCAACTCCTGTCCTCTCATCTGACACAGTGCTTGAGAAATACTTGAAATAAACATAGCGCTTGACCCAAGCATGGAATCCACTATGGCTTGTTTGCCTGAAACACGGCTTTTCCTGTTGGAGGAGGTGACATTTCTTAGAACTCTTGAAACATGGTCCCTTGAGTACCAGGTGTTGCTTCATCTAGAACCTTGACAAAATAGTGGAGGCAGCACTGCTGGATTCCCAAGGAAATCCTGCTTAGCACAGCACTGACGCCATAAAGCACTGTTGTGCTTTGTTGAAATGACTTGGGGAGGAAGGAATGGCCTGACTGCTAGTGTTCTATAGGGCTCTCTCATATCCACAGTGAGGCTTTGAAACTTAGCTTGCAGATTTTGCATGTTGATGCTACATGTTGGGCTTGGAAGAACTCTGGCTTATATGGCAAAAATGGCAACCCAATGTACTTGGCCTTTACTTGCCAGAGGTGTCAATCTTGTCCTCATGTCTCTCCTTCCATACATTTTGAAGGGTGGGACACACAGGACAGGCTGCTGCTCTGTGGCTCTGGGCAAAATCTGGTTATGCTTCCTCCCTAGGACACCTGCACTTTGACCATCCCATCAGCTTCTCTAGATGACAGAGGACAGCAAATGTAGGTAAGTTGGAGGCAGGGCTTGAGTTTTCATAGGGAGGCCCTGTGCTTCTTTTCTAGGATTGCTCTAGCCTTCCTTAGACTTTCTGGAAAATGCAAAATTTGTGGCAAAATCTTCTGGAAATAGGAAGAAACCCCTCTGAGGTCATTTTGTTCTTTCTTGGCTATATGCTAGAGGAGAGTCCCAGAGCCCTGAACCCCTCATTCTGGGCCACACTGCAGGTCGACTCCCCTGCCTTTGGTGAAGACATAAAGGATTTAGATGACTCCAAAGGTGGCTGAGATCCAGTTAGGGAGCTATGAAAGCTGCATTAATGGTGTACATTTCAGGGCTTAGCAACAGTCACCACTTTCAAAACTCCTGGGTGCTCTTGAGCTGGCTGTCTCACTGGCTGCAAAGGGTGAGAAGCAGGAGTAGTTTTGTCTTGATGATGCAACCCTTAGAACTCTGGCCTCATGACCTGTGACAGGGCTGCAAATATAGTGCCCTCCTGGGAAGGCACTATATTTGGGTAGTCAGTCACTGCTACTTCTTTCTGTGTACAGATGGGGATCTGTACTTGCATCCTGACTAATATGCTTCTATCTGGTATGTGCTGCAAAAGGGGAGACTAAGAAAACAAAAGGATTAGAAGAAAATCCACACTGCAGGAGGCACAAAGAAGGTATTCTTCTGGTAATACTCTTGAAGGTGGGCTGCGCAGTTGAGACACAGCTGGGAACCCTCTACAGTCTGGTGGGAAGGCAGTGGGGTGGGAAGAAGTAGCAGACATCACTGTGCTTCACTGTGCTCTGGGTAGCCTCCATCCCCCAGGCCACTCAAAGTAAACTCTGTGCCTGGCTTTCTTTCCAGCTCTGGGTGCATTGCACAGGTTTCAGGAAGACGCGGCAGAGTAGGTTCCACTCCATGCAACACTAAAACCTCTTTTAAGATCTTGATTCTTTCCAGTAAATTCCTTCTGAGTCAGGTGCCTTGTTGCTTCTCCTGCAGCCTCTAAGACCTGTTCCTTTGAACCTCTCTAATCTGGCTCCAGTTCTCAAGGTGTGTGCAACAATACAAAATATCACACACTACCATCACCCTGAAAAAAGTTAGAAATGTCAATCAAGTGTTTCTCAAGAGGGTCTCATTATGCATCAAGACCTGACTCTCCAACCAACCAACCAACCAACCAACCAACCAACCAACCAACCAACCCCAACCAACCAACCAACCAACCAACCAACCAACCAAAAGCTCAAGTTCTACAGGCAAAGATGGTGTTTTCTAGAGAAATGGTATGAACCTGTTGTAAAGACTTTTCCTAGTACCTGCAAGGTCCTGGCTTCACCCCCAGAACAGGAAAGATAAATGAATAGAAAAGTAAGTCTTCCTAACGTAAGCTCAAAGAAGAAGCCTGTCCAAGGCACAAAGAAGTAGAAAAAGCCCAGTGTAAACTCCATCTTCGGAATCTCTGCCATACACTACAAGATCCCTGCTTGTCAGTTCTTTCTTCCACCTGCCCAAAACATGTGTGCTCTCAACACAAAGGCCACTGGATTAGATCTTAATGAGGTTAACTTTTTTTCGTTTTTGAAAAGGGTCTCACATATAGCCTCAGACTAAGCTACAACTCTATGTAGCTCAGGCTGCCCTCGCTCCACCATCTGAGGCATGGTAGGGATTAAAGATATGTCCACCACACTCAATGAATTAACTCATTTGATTATTTAAAATTATAAATTATATTCATTTATAGGGCATAGGTGTGGTGGTCAGAGGACAACCTATGAAAGTTGGCTCTCTCCCGCCACTGTGGTGGTCCCGAGGATCAAACACGGGTTGTGGATCTTGGTAGTAAGTACTTCTACTTTCTGAGTCAACTCACCAGACATCAATCAATCAATCAATCATTTAATTAATTGTAATCAATTCTGGCCCACTACAAACAATATAAACCAAACCCAAACCAAACTGAACCAAAAGAAACAACAAACGACAAAATGCTACAAAATGAAAACTAAACAAAAGAAAGTTACCATAGAAGCAGCTGTCAGAAACAAGATCCTAAGCAGTTGGTTAGGTGAGGACAACTCAACCACAGGCCAGGAGACAGAAGGCCTGGATTCCATTTTATTTTCTGTGACAAGCAATGCATCATCACTACCAACATTCTTTGGAAGTCAGTGTATGGAGAAGCATTTGATTTGTGTTTTTTAGCTACCCAACTGAAACAAATGACTACCTGACCATGCTGAAGAAATAAGGCCCATGATGGCTCACCTTCACAGTCCACTTGACTAGATTTGGAATTACACAGGGGACACGGATATGGACATATCTGGGAGGGGTTTCCACCGAGGGTTAACAGAGGAGGGGACCCACCTCGGATGTATCACTGTTCTTCCTGACTGAGGACACGATATCACTAGCTTCATGCTCCAGCCACAATGGACTGCATCCCTTCTGAAACATGACCCAAAGCCATTCTTCCTTCCCTTTCACTGTTTTGTCAATGCCACACATGACAGGAACATGTAAAATCTCAGAG